GAATAAAGGCGGGGGAAAGATGACTGCTGTCCTCACCTTCTGCTCTCCGTCTCCTGGGCAGGCTCGGCAGAGAAAAGCCCCAACAGGGACCACTGAGGACTGCGCTACGGGGAGATTGAAGGCAAGCTCCCCGTGGGTGCCATGTGAGTGCCACCCAGGCAGCCCCGGCTCCGCTCTTGGTCCTTTCCTGCGGCGGATGCTCAAGCAGTGAGCGGCCGAGTCCGGCCTGGGGCACCGAGCTGTCCCGCCATCCCTCCGGACGCCGAGGGAGCCGCGAAGCAGCCAGGCTTGGACCAGCTGCTGGTCTCAGCAGCCCCGCACCGGTAGGCTCTTTCATTTTTCTGCCTTTGCCGTTGCCATCAGTGCTGCCGGCCCTGCCGTGCGAGAGCGCAACGCAGCCTTTCTCGGGGGTTTCTCGGGGGTCACATCTGTATGTGACCGTACATCTGTACGTGTGTACGTCTGTATGTCCAGACACAGGATGCATACGGGTTTCAGCCCAAACCTCATCAGCGGTGGCTTTGGCACCCGCTTCTGTTCACCCGTCACCCACGTGGCAGGGCAGCAGCGGGAGCTTTGGAGGGTGTTCAGGCTTGAATTGCTCACGTCTGTGCATATTCATGCACAGTTAAACTTTCAGGAAAGCAAAGCAAATATGTATGTAAACTCAAATAAGAGAGGCTGGGCTGCACGTGGGTATTGGCGTGCCAAAGGGCTTCAGAGCTGGGGACACTTGCCCTGATGCAGAGCAGGGACAGTCCCCGGTCCTGCTGACCCATCCTTCTGTGCCATTAACAGCACATCCCAGCATGTTCCTCTGGTTGATGGTGGTTTATGTATCATTTAACATTCCCCTAGAGCCGCGTGTTCAGCCGCAGTGCATGCCGCACTGGTCTGCGTTTGGGGATATACAGACCCCAAACAAACAGGCAAGGTGGGTCCCTTTGGGGTTTTGTACCAGCTCTCCTGTGTCCTCATTGCTGACAGTACCTAAAAGGAGGCAAAAGGAGGTACGTTAGCGCCTTGCCCAGGGCCAAAGGGCCTCTTGCCCTCTGGCACTAGCAGAGAGGTGTTGGGGCCCTCAGGGGTTAGTGAGGAGCAGAGCCACGACCAGGAGGAGGACATGAGCCCTGTTCAGATGAGTCCAAGGTGCAGATGGACAAACCTAGCCAGTGGAGATGACAGAGACCATGGAGACATGGAGGTGTGGCAGTCCTGCCTTGGGCTGCTGCTGTGGGTTCCTGGGGGTTTCCCTGCCAAGGGACTTGCTCCCCCAGGGCAGCAAAAAACAGAGTCGTGTGGGTTTCTTTGGGGCGAGGGGCAGCCCTGGCTCTGTCCTGGGTGCAGGGCAGCAGGGACCTCCCGTGGGGCTGGGGAGAGGGGTCTCTGTGGGGCAGTGGAGACCTTAGGTCTGCGGGAAGTGAGGATGCCTTCAGCACCATGCATTGGAGAAAGGCTTTCCAAGGACCCCAACCTGAGGGCTTGGGGGGGTCTTAGCACTTTTTGTTCAGCTGAACTCTCTCTGCTCTGTGTTCTCACCTGGCCAGGGCTGCTGTGGAAGAAACAGAGTTTTCAGCTTCTGAAGAGCCTCTCTGTTTCTCTCCCAGCCATGATCTGAGACCTGGCTTGCGTAAGACAAAGTCTCTCCAGGCCATTCCAGATTCCAGTGTAAAACTTCTGTTTGATCATAAATAAAGCTCAAAAAGCGTCATTCATTGAAAGAGAAGCTTTGTTTGGGCTGCAGAATACATCGAGGCTCCTGCAGGCCGGAACAACTTAAAAACCCTTTTGCGGTTGGGATAGCTGGGTAATGATCCCCCGGTGGGGAAAATCTAGAGACGACATGAACTGTTAAACATTTTAGGATGTAGTTATAATATTGTCTAATATACGTATGGAATAAACACCAGAATATCTATAGAGACCGACGGTGCTGACCGTACGAACGCCGGGCACCTCCCGGCCCCTATCAAACGCTACGAACCGAGCGCCGATGCTGTCTGTCTGCTTTCAGTCCCACGGAAGTGCGTCCCAGCTCTCCACGGAGGAGCCTCGTTTTGCATGAAGGTGCCTCTGCCGGTCAAACGCTCAGCCCCTGCGCTAGCATCTCCAGCCCGACAGCCGCTGGCGTGATGCCTCTGGCCACATCTCTCATCTTCAGATGCTGAGTAAAGGAGTATATTCGATGCCGCAAATAAGGACAAAGATTTGCAGTAAAACTCAGTCATAATTACGTATTTTTCATGATCGAATGTATTTGTTATTGCTTGCCTGGAGCGTGAGTTATTCCTTCATGCATTGCTTCTTCCTGAAAGCCAAAAGTGAGCGGGGGCTTAGGAAGACCTAAGAGAGGAGGCCAGCGGCTTTGATTTCAGCCTTCACATGAGCCATTGCTGCTGTCAGCCAGACAGTGGCATTTCTATAAAAATCCTGTGCAAATATTTGTTCTAAATCAGGTTCTTTCCTTTTGCCTTGACTGGAGTATAACCGAGGGAGCTTATGAAATGCTGTATCGTTTCCAGATTAATTGCTACTGAAAGAGGATTTGTTGTCTGCCCTGCTCGCACCCCCCTGGGATAATCTCTCGATTTAGTTTTTTTCCTCAAATTCTTTCGCCCCGGACAGTGAGTTTCGCAAAGGCCAGACTGTTTTGCTCCCCTAAAAGCCTGTCTCATTTGCTAGCCCTCCCTGCCCCGCCAGCAGACAAACTGGGGAGTGTTGATGAAGGGAGATGAATATTTGCCTCTACTAACAGTTGGATTATTCCCACTTTTCAGATGCCATCTGTGTGACAGGGTTTGGTTTGCACTAAATACAGCCTGTGGGCTGAGCTGAGAAAACAGATTGCTGCACCACTATGTTAAATAATCATCATTAAAGTCTGGTTCGTCAGAGAATTTCAGGCTGCCACGGAGGTTTTTTGGGGAGGAGATGCAGCTCACTTCCACGTCAGGACGCTGAAATCAGATTTTACTGTAAATTTTGATGACGCTCTCTGTTGGCAGTGCTGTCATCTGGGATCCGCAGGGCTTCTCACCTGAGGTTTGCAGGCAGGGTGATGACAGCTGGCAGGCAGGCAGGCAGGCAGGCAGGGGTGAGAACCACCAGTGCTCTCTCTGCTGCTCCTGGCTGGGTTAGTGCGGAAAAGAGACTCTCACTGCCTCTCCCTCTGTCTTTTCTTCCTGTCTTTCCCCAAGCGCTCGGATGCTGTGAGCAGGTTCAAACCCACACCAAGCAAATACAAAATGTCCAGCAACGTTTTACATTGCGGATCACCAGGCACAGACCTGTGTCCCGCCGGTTGCAGCTCTGAAGCATAGACACACACACACACGCACAATTCAGAAAGGTCCTTTTAATCCCTCTGCAGAGGAGTAGCAGAGCTCCAGAGCCTGCACGAGCGCGTGGAGATCCCTGCCCTTCAGGTGTTACAGATAAAGGGCACAAAAGTATTTTACGCTTGCAGTAGCTCCTTACATTTGTGGTCAGTGCAGTAAGGATAGTATGCTGCTTCTAGCTGATTTATTTTTGCGTACAATGAGGAAAATAAGCTGAAGGTTTAGTTCACCTTCTTACCCCAAATATTTGAACTTGAACAAAATATTTGGGTTTTTTCCCACTAAATATTGCACTTGCTGTGAGTACATCCATACTAGTCTTCTACAAGGTCTGTCGGCGTCTGTGCACTTCCATGCCATGTGAGAGGAATCGGCAGGCACGCTCATCAGCTCGAGCGGCGGCTCTTTCTTGGTCTCCTCTTCTTTGAAAACTGCGATTTCAGCCAGTTGAAGAAGCCACCTTTTGTTTTTAACTCAAACTCCACTGGGTAGTGGTCACTCAACCCCAGTGCCTGCAAGACAACGGCGCAGAGGGGTTGGGAGCCGGCCACCCACGCTCTTTCCAAACCTGCCCCAGGGGCTTCTACCGCATGGCGGGGAGGTGGGTGTGCGGTGGTGGATGTGGGGAGGTGCAACACGAGCATTGCGTCACTTTTTGAGAATGCAACGGTTTTATGGACAAGACCATGTTCAAAAGTGCCTGGACACTGTTGGCTTTGCGCTCCTGCGTTAGCCCTTGCCCCACTGCTGCAGAGGCCATGCTGCGCCTACCTGCTCCTCGGTCATCTGAAAGTCCTTCTGGAAGTCAAAGATGTTGACAGAGTGTGGCACGATGGCGTGGATGAGCTTCTGCCCGCTGACCACGATCCTGCAAGGAGCAAGGGAAAGGAGTGCTGTTATGGGTGCCCAGCCGGCGGCAGCCATGCTGCACCGAGCCAGCAGCCAGAGAGGTGGCCTTGATGGACTCACAGCTACATATGGTTTGTCCTTTCCTATGGGCTGCCTATTTAGAGATGTCAGCACGTGCTTTCTGCTGAGTTTGGCTGATGGATTTCCTTGGGAGTGAAACACCTAAATACCCGGCAGCGTGTTGGCCTTGGAAGCCAACGTTAAATGACTTGTATCTGAACCCACCCCAAGAGTGCTGCAAAGTTCACAGCTGTACTTTGGATACAAAAATCATAGGACACCAATGACTGGAGTCTCTGCGAAGTCCTGCTTTGATCCAGAAGCTCGTTCTGCAAGAGTTTTAAGTCTTGACTTGCTCTGGGCTCCAAAAAGCTGATGTATCTATTGTCCCTGCTGAGGGACCTGCAGGTAGCAGCGGGACTCGCCACGTGCCCAGGGGAAGCGAGGCGTCCCACCTCCTGAGCACAACCCGATTTTGCATTTGTCAACCCAAGTTACGAATGCAAGAGCAGAAGCCGGGGCGCTAAGCTGGCACGGAGGAGGCGGCAGCGCCTTCCACCTGGGCGTCCGCAGGGCTCTGCAGGTGCGACGCGCTGCCTGACCGCCTGTCATCTGTCTCCACCTGAGCCGCAACGGTGGCTGGTTCTCACATCAATTACTGCCCTGTCTGCAAAACCGCTTGTCAACAAGCCTGCAAAGTGCTTTGCGCTCCTGACTAGAAGTACTCAGATCTCACTTCCCCCCAGACAGTTTTATTTTTGAAGGCCTCATTGCACATTTGCTTTATTTGACAGTCGCTGACACCTTTCCATATATTTTTTTTCTCAGAAAGTCATAAACAGGGAGCGGTTTGGCAGTGAACCCTTTACCTGTCGTACGGGCAGCTTGTGCTTTTCTTCACCGTTGTGTCATTTTTGTCACCGATTAGCCAGACAAATTCGGAGTAAGTCCTCAGCCGGATGTTCTTCCACTGCTTTTGGGGAACGTAGCTACATCCAGCATTAAAGTCCCCCATGAAAATGAAGTTCTGGAAGGTAGGAGGGGTTTAAGAAGTAATCATGAGGACAGCTCTTCAGAAAAATACCAGCAAGGGCTTTTAGGGCCAACAGATGCTGCCAATAGCCCCCCATACAGCCCAAATAGCGAGTGCTCTCTGAGTGCAGCAGGGCTTCTCCTTTCTGCTGGGCGCACCACCGAGGCACCACCAAGGCATTTATCAGGAGGTCAGCTTTACTGATCAAAGTGTGGAGAACTCCATGAAAATATATCAGAGAGTTATTAAAAATCTGGGGCTTGTTATCAACAGTTTTAAGGTTATCAGGCTGTGAGTGGCAAACAGCGTACCAGGTGAGTCAGTACCAAAGCCGCTGTTAGTAAAATAGATGTGTCAACTAACCTCGGTTTTCCAGCACTGTTTTATATCTAGATACACATCATAGAGCTCATCAATCTCCCGAACTGCTGTCTCTGGTGTGGTGTGCAGAGGGATTATAGCAAACTCTTTGACAGCTTAAAAACAAGACAAAAGAACAGGAAAAAGCGTCATGGTTAAACACACAAAGAAACAGGGGTTGACTTGTAAGCAGGAAGGTTTTTCTGAAGAAGAAAGTGCTGCTGTTCTGGCTGTAGATCAGAGTCGTTTGCTGTGTAATCGCACAGCGCTCCCCCCCAGCTGCCCAGCCGACGCTGAGCTGCGACACGGTGAGGTGCGGTGTCAGGGCAAGGCAAACCCTGCTCCGACACCCAGGGAATAGCTGCTCCTGGGCCATGCCAGCGGCGTGGAGCGCACCCACTAACCCACCGCCCGTG